GGGGGGGGGGGACTTACTTGGGGTTGGTTCGATTCCAGAAGACGGCGTAGCGGTCCGACACCACTTTGGAAGCCGGATCTTGGCCATAGACACACACACCAAGTATAAGGATGAGGAAGAGGATCGTGTCCACTTGCGGCATTTCTGCGCCTAAACTTAAGTCCGTTCAGCTTTAAATGCTCTGATGAAGGAGTACGGTTCCAGCTTCTTCCAAATCAAATCAAAAGCTAGAAAACAGCAGATCCAGCCCTTTCTGTGATATTCAGAACGTCACACGTGGAGTTAAAGTGTCGACTTAAATCAGAGTGCCCAACTGTGTTTCGGTTTTACGCGAACAAACGTCCCCGTGCAACTGTTATCCAAGTCTCATTGGATGTTCAGAAGGCAACCCTCTTTACTATCTCTTGAAAAAGAAGTAAGCGAGAAAAAAAGGGATGGGAAGTGAAGCAGCTGTTGATCGGCCGCTCTCTCCAAAATGCACAAGGTAGATCACCAGTAAACGCAACGGAACGGAACCCCAACGATCTCCGGCTGTCTTCACTCGTAAGGGAGAGGTGGCACGTCGAGCGCTGAGCCTCCAACTGCCATGCTCTCTCAGACCAAACCCCGTCTCCGACTTTCCTCAAACCCCACCACACCACCCTCCCTCGCCCCCCCCCCTCTCTCTCTCTCTCTCCCTCTCCCTCACTCGCTCCTGCTGTGCCAGCCGTGGCACAATGACAAAGCGCGTTACGCGTCTATTCTTTGACACTATCTTCTCAGGCTCGTTTTTTGCAATCTTAAGATGTTCAAACAAGGTTTTCCGAGCAATCTCTTCGGTGAAAATAGTATTTAAGCAGACCAGCAGAGTGCGCTTCGAAGGAAAAAAAAAAGGACGGTATTTCTCACAAAGTCGCCCATATGTGTGCATTGCAGTCTCTTTTTGCGGTGTTTCGATGCAGCGACCCGTGCTTGGATTTTGGGTGAATGATGGACGTTTCGCTCACAAAGCCAACACCTGGGATTAGATTTTCTGCGCACCGTAAACAGCGAGGACATAATTCCTAGATAATTCCCATAAATGCTCAGCAGCACCACAAGTCTCCGGTAACCCTGCTTTTAGGCGACGCGGCCATCACCCTAATCTGTCTCAATTACAAGTCTAATTCGAAGAAGAGGGTAATCAATTACGCGCGTTTTGTTTTAACGTAAATGTCACTCCATTGATAACATTTCGCAAGTAACCAAGCGCACCCCTGGTGCTGAACCTAGTATCACTAAAACCAGCCCAGCATGTGAATAATGATAGTTTTCCTTTTTTACAAAAAAAGAAAATTAGAAAATCAGTTCCGAATAACCCCGCATTACATATTTATTTATTACATATCTGCTTTTTTATCGTTATTTTTCCTGATGCTCGCATTACAAGTCTTACAAAGTCCCTACACTTCTCCTCTACGGTGGTTTTCAGCTCATGATTCAGTTCGCCACACAGCGGTCGTCTGTAGAAAAACCTCCCCAAACTTCTGAATCTTCTGAATTGCAAAAGTCTGGAACATGTTCAGTGAATGGGAGACAGAAAAGGATGAGACTAGTAGTTAAAACTAATCCTCTTTGTAACAACAGTAGCACTGAGGAAGCTGATGTGAGGGCCCCTCATGGCTCAGCAGGAGGATTTTAAACTTCACAGAGACACTAAACAGTAATTGTTGCCCCCCAGAGATTTTGTCCATGAGCAGCCTGCCTTATTTCCACCTGGAGAGGCCACCTAAGCACCAAGTAACCAACTTCAGGTTTATTGTTTTGAAGGTTATTTCTGGACTGCAGCTTTCTCGTTTCCATATCGGTATAAAGTGTTACCTGTCACAAATGTTGACAAGAGAAGAGAAGCAGGATGGAAGGTGTCAGAACATAAGTCAATAGACTTCAGAATTGGATTAAGCCCAAAAACGTCTTACTTGGTATTTGGTTTAGGCTACACTTGAATAATGTATGGTAATAAGGGGGACTGATTAGGGTTAAAACAAACAAATAAAAAATCTCTGGCTCAGGCCAAAGACGAGCAGATTCCTTTTTTACAGCATATATTCTCAACACTCCCACAACCACTAAAGTTCAAATATTCAATTTCTGGTTGTAGGAATGAACTGGAAAAAAAAAAAAAAAAATCTTCAATTCAAATAGATTTTCATATGAAAGATTGAATACAAATTCAAATGTTGTCAAAAGCAAAGCAGAATCATTAATACACAATTTACCCAAGAGTTTTTAGTTCTGGGGACTTTTGTGAAACCCTCAGTTTTTTATTTTATACTGAAATTCAATTGATATTGAATAAAATTGTCTTGAATCCAAACCTTTGGAACTGGAATTGAATGAATTCAGAAAATCAGTACCTGCACCCAGCCCCACAAATGACCCCACAACCACCAACTTGTGACCCATTTAAAGAAAAAAAATACTCTGGGGACCATGCACCTGCTTTAAATCGCACGGTGAACAGTGATCCCACCGTATGACGTGTTTAGGACATTGTGAACATTTGTGTGTTGCTCAGCACGTGCTCTGTAAATCCATCATGATTTCCCTTGACACACACAAACCAACAGGTCGATGTATTTGCATGCTCTGCTTCTTTTGTGCATGTGGTATAAGGCCCAGGCAATGAACCACCCCAACTAGGCACTCTGATCCATGAACGAAAATGACCTAATCTCCACAACTAAAGTGTCTGTTTTTACCTCATTTGCTCCTGATATACGTCTATGTTCCTCAAGACAATGGAATTATTATAAATTAGGGTCAGTGGGGCTGCCAGCAAAACACAAAATGGCCCAATTTTTCTCATGTTCTTATAGGTTGGCTGTCACATACATAAATGGGATGTCTACAGAATAATTACTTTCATTTTCATATTGCACACTGTTTCACCTTTAAAAAGGGAATCACTCATACATTCCATGGTGAACACAGTAGAAGCAGGAAACTGATGATTTTTTACTTTATGTAATCTGCAACACAAAAAGCACCATTAAAGTGTCTTTGAGTGTTTATTTTGTTGTACATCCACCTCCCCCACCTTAGTCATCTTCCATTTGAAGCTGTAATCATGTACTGCTCTGTAAATAAAAATCTATTTCAATATTCTTATTTCAAAATTTAAGAACAAAAACTTCTTACTTCTTTGCATTTATGCTGCTAGTGTTTGAGCAGTTTCTGTTGAGTTGTGTTGATTTATTTCAGTTGTCTGAAGTTTTTCATCTATGTTCTATTTGCAACAAACCACAAACTCATTAGGAAACTATTGTGCCCACATAAGCTAACTCAATTAATTTTGCTATAAAGCAGCCACATGCTTTGTAAAGTTGTTATGTATATTTACAGAATACTAGTCCTAACTGGGGGTAAATAAATAGTTGTGAATAACCAATAATGTAATCAGGTGCATTTATGATCTTATAATTAGCAGATAAATATAGCCTTAGATGAAAAACAACATACTACACTGACTCAGCATCAACGGAAAAAATGGGTTTAAAAAATCCAAAGTGCCCTGTGTAGTTTGATAAAACAAGTCTAACATAAATACTTTGAACTAACTGCCTCACAGCAATAATGTCTTTCATATTGCTTCCAAGAAAATTATCACTGATCTTCATAATTTATTTTTCAGTTAATGCCCAGAATGCGGCAACGAGAAAAACATTCAAACCTACAACTCATAATGCATGAATAAACAGCATTCGTGTACGCTTTAGACTACAGTCGCTGGTAATAAATTTAGTGCTTTATACATCAGGTGGGGGCATCCATTTAATTTATGGTGTACCTACTCTTATTTCTATCTAAATGGCAGCTCGGAAATAACTTTAAGCTCCAAATGATCTTTCCTACTAATCCACATATAACTGCCAAAGGAAAAAATAGCAGCTAAATGTACAATTATTATGTATGTTCCCTTTGCAATTTAGGTACAACGTGCTGAAAAATTGATATTCCTTGTGTATCTTGTGAATTGAAAAGCTTAGACATTATTGTAATGTCCATTAATCCCACACCCTGTGAGGGCTCCCTCCCCAGCTAAGCACCTCAAGGACTTGTGCTGCAGGTATGAAATGACTTTCACACCTTCCCCTTCCCCCACCATCTCAATCAAAAAAGGTTGACCTGCACCACAAACTTCCACCTGTCTGCATTGAGGATCTGCAAAGAGACAGATCCAGAAATGGATGACTAAGTACGCTCCAGGAGCTGATAGTTTATCTTTGTCCTGCCTGAAAGTCTATGCTGACAAGCTGGCTCTCTTCACCAAGATCTTCAACAGTTCCTAGGAGTTGTGGTAGGCCCCCTTCTGCCTCAAATGCAGCACCATTGAACCAGTTCTCGAGATGTTCCCTGTCACAGTATTAAATTACCACAGCCCACTGTGCCTCCATCTGTTAGTGGATCAATAGCTTCCTGACTAACAGGACCCAGGAGGTGAAAGTGAAAGTGGGAAGCATCACCTCAAGAACCAGGACTGATAGCACTGGTGCCCCTGTAGGGTGTGTCTTCTCCCCACTGCTCTTCTACCTTTTAACTAAAGATCGCACCAAATAAGTCCTACTGTTAGACTACTGATGGTTATGGACACGCTAATGTCAAGACACCGGCTAGTCTGAATGAGGTGAAGTGGAACAGCTGGTTCTCTAGCGCAATAAGAACCACCTCAAACTTAGTCTGCTCAAAACTGTGGAGATAACAACGGACTTCTCAAAGTCCCCCCATTAACCCTTCCTCTCACAGTCTTCAACAATACAGTCAGAGCAGATACCTGGGTTCCACCATCTCATGGGACCTGAAGTAAACCTTCCACATAAACTTAGTCTGGAAGAAGGCCCAGCAGAGGTTGTACATTGTGCATTAACTCAAGAAGTTTAACCTTCCCCTGGAGGTGCTGATAATCTTTAATAAGGAATAAATGCAGTCTGTCTTGACCACGTCCATCACAGTCTGGTTTGCGATCAGCCACCAAACATGAGAAAGACTTGTACCAGTCCAGGATCATGAAGCAGGCCAAGTAGGGCTACATTTACACTGCAGTCTGAAGTGTCCTAAATCCAATTTTTTTCCCTAATGCTACCTGTATATGATATTTTCATGACATTGTGAACAACACAGGTTGGATTTTTTAAT